TATATATAATTTTTAAAATTTGAATTTTATTTGATAGTTTTAATTTGAAATTTCAATTTTAGTGGATTTTAACTTTATTAATATTAATTTTGAGTAATTTTGAGAATTTTGATGATTTTGCTTTACTTTGAATTTTTGAGGTTGAAATTTGAGGTTGAATTTGATTTAATTTTTGTTTGAGGTTGAAATTTGAAGTTTAAATTTTAATTAATTTTCTTCTCAAATTGATATTTTTTTAAAACATAAACTGTATCTTAGCTCAAGGTGAACCTCAAATCCAAACGGTTCTTCATGAACCATGGGAAGAGTTATCCAAGGATCTTATGAAGGAGAAGTGCAGAGTGAGAGACCAACAGAAACATAAGCATATAAGGTCAAATGGTTACTTAAAGCATTTTAATTTTATAAAAACTCAGCTCATGTCTCAAATGACTTGACACTAACCAACTCAACCAAAGGTTACGAGTTTGAAGTCAAGCATACAAAACTATAAGCAATGAAGATATGTTTGAAGTTTTATTTTGGTTTTGGTTTCTCTACTTATTTTCTAAGAAAGCCACTAAAAAAATCTTAAGGCTAGATCCTAAGCTCTAGAGAGTGAAAGGATAGGATAGACCTCATACAATTATGAGGTCAACATCACAACAAGGGTGTTGTGCTGGTAAGACATAGTGGTCTTGTTAGAAGTTGGCTAGTCACAAAGATTTGTTGGATGCAAGGATTTATTTGACTTTTCCTAGGCTTAGAAAATCCAAGACACTCAACAAAAAACTTGAATAAGAAAGAATACTTCACTACTCAGGCGAAGTGCAAACAATGAGCTTAAATAACCTTTGTTGTAGGGATTTAAAACCACGTAGGTATAAGAAACCTATTGGTCGAATAAAATATCACCAATGACTTAGAAAAGTTACAATGTGAATACCAACCAAGGCAAGAGTAAAGCTTTCATCAACTGGATAGTTGACTTAAAGAATTCACATTAAGGCCATGAACTTGACAGGTACAACAACTAAACACCAGTCGAATAAAATATATAACAGTCTTAGGAAAGATCATTGCAGTACCAAATTGGATGGGTAAAAGACATTGGTTAGATAGTCGACTTGGAAAAGCCCCACTATGGAAATACATGCCAAACATGAATCAAGTCAAATGTTGGTAAGATAAGAGACTTAGAAAAGTCATGTGTTTAAGAGTTATATCCAAACAAGTATATAAAATTTCGATGGCTGAATAAAAATATGTAATGACCTAAAATAAGGTCGTATTATGAAGATGAACCTAACGAGTACTAGACCAGACATTGGTCCAAAAGTGAACTTAGAATAGCCTCCCTATGATCCATTCTGAACAGTCATCAAGTCAAACTTTGGTAGAATAACAGACTTGGAAAACTCATGCCATACAAAAAATGAGTCGAGATAGATATAGAATCCTCATAAATCATACCAAATCCATTGGGGAAATTATAACCCCATGGAATGGAAATGACGTACCAAGCTTAAACTCCTAGAATAAATCAGAGAGATTGATAAAAAAGAAGGTGTTGGGCTCTAAGTCCTAGAATAAATTAGAGAGATTGATAAAAAAGAAGGTGTTGGGCTCTAACTTCCAAACTAAAATAGAGGAAATAATTAGGAAGGTTGTGATTGAGCTTAAACTTCCACTCCCAATAAAGAAAATTAATGAAAAAAAGCAAATGTTGGGCTTAAAATCCCAATCAAGATTAGAGAGACTAATCAAAAGGGATGTTGGACTATAACTTCCAATCTCGATTAGGGAGATTAATCAAAAAGGATGTTGAGATAGCCCTCCCAAACTTGGTTAAGAAAAATTGGAAAGGAATGTTGTGCCCTAACTCCTATTTTCAATTAAGAGAAATTAAAAATAAATGTTGTACTCTAACTCCCATGCTAGCTTGGAGAACTAATCGAAAAAGAGGTGTCAAACTTTAATTCTCAAACTCGATTAAGAGAAATAAAAAAATAATATTAGGCTCTAACTCTCAAACTCGATTAGAGACTGATTATAATAAGAGGTGTCAAGCTCTAACTCTCAGACTCAATTAAGAAAAGTGGAAATGAATGTTAGCCAAGAACTCCCATACTAGATTAGAGAAACTAATAAAAAATGTTCAATGGATTAAATTTTAATGGGCTTGATTCTCACATCGATCAATTAACTGATGTGATATCTTTCAAAAGAGACAGTTCACATCATCATAGCTATGCAGATACTAAAACCAAATATATGCTATGTGAAGGCAGTGACATCTTTAAAAGGGAAATGTTACTACAAAATTGAATGGGTATCAAAACAATCATCAACTGGAATGAGAGAATTTAAATAATTGTACTACATAAATAATCAAAACCTGACGGGCATCTAGCTCACCTCTATCGATTGATACAACACCCTTTAAAAAAATGCACATAATGATATGGCGAAGTGAACATCAAGAGCCTACACTCGCTATATAAAATGGATAACATCATTAAAAAAGGAAGAAGCAACTAAGTGACCATATGTGTATTAAACGAGACATCAGTTATAACGATAAACTTAAACAATTCCCACTACCGAAACTGAGAGCTTTCCATTGGGTTCCAAATTTTGGGACTCACTAGGGCTTTAAAATTGTGTTTTGTTAATTTGGACCTCACCTAAACAAGCCAAACAGGGGAAGGAAATGAAGTTGAAGGTTTTTTCCTTATATCTCCAAATTGGGTGTACCACTCACTTTAGGGATGGTAATTTTCTATTTTGGTATCCGGGCCAACAAAAATTGGTTAGATTGGAAAAAAAGAAGGAATATACCTCCAACCCATATCTAAAAAAAGTGCAAGTGTATAACTTCGCTAGGGATATAACTTTGGGTTCTATTATTCCAAACATGGTCTAAAAAGATCAAATTGGGGAAGAAAAACAGTACAACTCTTCCTCCTATAGATTTGTGATAGAGGTATTGTTTGCCATAACACAATCATCTTATTCTTTAATGTATTCTCTTAAACTAGGGCACAACTTGTTTCAGGGAAAGACATAACTTCCTCCTCTTTTTAGAAGAAAAATGAATCTTTCGAGTTTTGGTAACTCTAACCCAGCCAAAATTGGCTAAACCGAGAATATCAATCTTCTTTAAGTAACTATTTTGTTTCTACGAAATTAGATTAACTTCTCACAGGCATTCTTATAAATGGAAAAAGAAAATATGATTATAAAAATCACAAATTTCGACGATTCAAAACTAGCTAAACATATAATGTGTCCACCAATTACAATTTTCGCGATCAACAATATTTTTTATAGCCTGATTGTGGCTATTCTAAATAAACTATTTTTGTTCATTAGTAAAATCAATATTATAATTTCATATTCTCTAATTCTGAAGAAGACTCTACCCATGTATTGACAAACACATAATGAATTATTTTACTTTGCTTACCCCGAATTTTCTCCCTTCAAAGGTCTGTCATGTAAAAAATCCTAGCATCTCATCTTATTACTTTTCTATTATCTATGTGTGTGCTGTATCTTAATTCAATATTAGAACACTAACTTATCACCTACGGCTAAGAAATTTTCAGCACAAAAAAAAATATAATTTTTATATCATAATATTATATGGATAAGCATAAAAATATAAATATATAAAAATTACGTGGTTTATGAAATTTTGTAAAAATAAAATTTAATTTTATTTTACCACTTGATCTGTCGTAGGCCCCCCAACCGTTGTAAGTTGGAAGTGGCGTGTGCAAAAGTGTTCCTTCTTCGTATATTCCCTTTTTATTCCCCTGCCTCGTTTTCTATTTTGCTCTCCCTTTCGCTTCTGTCCGGCATCCGGAGGAGAAGAAGAAAAAGGTTACTGAAATCATTAGAGAAGCACTAGCATGGCGAACTGGGCTTTGTACATTATGCTGCTACTGGCCGCGGCGCTCGCCGGTGGAGAAGGCCGTGGCGCGGCTGCGGAATCTACCGTGCCGTCGACGCTTGATGGGCCGTTCGCGCCGGTGACGGTGAGGCTTGACGACAAGAGTTTTCGGGGTAACGCCGTCGACCTGCCGGATAACGATCCTCGGGTGGTGAGGCGGGTGAGGGGTTTTGAGCCGGAGCAGATCTCTGTATCCCTCTCCACTACCGCCGATTCTGTCTGGATTTCTTGGGTCACAGGTATGATATTCCTCTGATTAATTGCGGCGATTTCTTAAATTTATAACTCTATCCTTGGGAAGTTCTTTTGAAAATTTGAGTAAGCGGGTTGTGTCGTTATTTTATATCAACCATTAAATATATTTTTATTGGTATTTATGATCGGCTGTGCTATTATGATTGTTGTTAAAATGAAGAATCTGTCTTTTTCCTGTTCTGCTCATTTTTAATTTTCTTAAGCCCAATTGATCAGTTGCGAGATTCCAGTGCGGCGATTTTATCATTTTGCTGCATTTGGCGAGAAAGTGATCATTTCTTCACTGTCTTGGAATATATATGATCGGTATAATTGGGGGAAAAACTTTGGTTATGTTTACTAAACTAGTAAAGTTGTTTGGCGGAATTATTTTCTGATGAGATATTCTGAATAGGTTGTGATTTTAATTGAATATAAACAGAATAATAAACTTCAATGTGATTGGTATGGTGTTGCGCCGTCTTTTTCGAGTGAAATACGTTTTATTGTAAGTTTTTCTCATTTATGAGGGCCATGCATCCTTTGAAGTTACAGATTTTTGGTGTTTTGAATTTACTACTCTAAATACTCGATGGCAATTGTTCTTTTAACAGTTTTTTTTTTGGCTGATCTGCAGGTGATTTCCAAATTGGTGGTGATATTCAACCTTTGGATCCTGCAAATGTTGCAAGCATTGTTCGTTATGGAAGATTGCATAATCATTTGGCTTTGAAAGCTAAAGGCTATTCGCTTGTTTATAGTCAGATTTATCCATTCAAAAGCATGCAGAACTACACGTCTGGAATAATACACCATGTTCGCCTTACAGGTGGGTAGACACTGTGTATGTTTATTTTTACGTTTAGTTGTTTTTACTATTCTGTTATTCAGATTTCTCTGCTAGTTTATCTATTGAGTGTTCATGTTGCTCCTGTTGGAAGGTTAGAAGGGAGCAATTTCTTCTATTGTGTGGGCTCTGAAAGTTCAATTCTATGGCCTCCCTTGAAAAGAAAGAAAGAGATGAGAGGGGGGAGTTTATCGTGAGGTTCCGGGTCAAATTTTCAGAAAGCAGATGAGATAATAGATAATACACTATCCAGAAAATTTTGCCCTAATTTTGTGAGGACTTTAAGAATTGGTGTTCGAGGTTTTCCATAGACACATGCCACTATGTTTAATTACCCCTCTCGATAATAGGATAACACTTTTGATTAAGGGTAGTCATGAGGCAGTAAGTTTTTAGACTTAATATATAATAATAGCAATTTTAAGTTTTGAAAGTATAAAATTGTCATTGTTAGCTTAAAAGCGAATGGTGGGAAAAATGTTGACAAACCCGATTATGATCTCATTGGTTCGTTATCCTGGGTTGTCATGACCCCTGATCTACTTAATCAGAGGAGGTAGCCGTTCCAACCGAACAGAATAGTCCTTGTTAGTTATTATGAGTTACTTCATCTAAGAGAACCTTTTAGATCTGGAGTAAATGATTGTCTAAGGGAATAAATTTAAGTCATCTTAGCTACTAGAAGACTTTATACCCTACCAAGTATACCCTATAGTTCACAACCCAAATAAGCAAAGCTATTGGGGAACAATGCAGGTTACAAATGTGATTGTAATATAGTGGCATGATCGACTAAACCACTTGATGGAGCCTATTAGCCAAACTACCTGATGGAGTATATTGACCAACCATCTGATGAAGCCAACTGTTCAAATCACATGATGAAGCCAACTATTCAAATCACATGATGAAGCCTATTTGACAAATCACTCAGTCAAAGGGCTTTAGTTATAAACATTTTTTTGTGGAGCCGTTGGGTAAAATCACATGGGCAGCGTACACAGTCATGTTCTTACTCATGTGAGATTGTTTTGAATATAAATTTAGTAGTATAATTAATGACAATTACTCTTTGTGAGCTTACGTTAATATGAGATTTATCACTCTTAACAAACAATTCTGAGAGGATGTGATTTTGCTTAAGCTTTTAGTTATAGAGCTTGTTATGCTTTTTAAAGATTTTATAGTTTGAAATTTATATAATTTTAAGACAGACCCATTCAGTTAAGATATGCAATGAATATGCCTATTATCATGGAGTATGATTGATTAATTTGACCTTGTCGATCAATCATACTTATAGAGATTGAGTTCATAATTGACAAATGATTGAATTTTTTATAAAAAAAATTATTATGCTGACATGCTGACATTGCCAACCATAACTTTTGCATATAGGATCGAATCTACGGTTATGACTAGTGATTGTCTTTCATAGGTTTTAAGTTAAATATTTGGATTTTTCATAGAAAAACTTTATTTATAAAATAAACTTGTCTGATTGAAATTTTCTGTCAACTCGACCATTATCAGAGAGTTTAAAATGACTTGAAATATTCATATTTGACATTTAATTTGAGTTTATTGATTGAATATTATTAAACACCATTCATGTTGACTCTCATCCTTATGAGAAGGAAGATCTAACTGCCTCAAATGGGGCTCAGTTTTGTCAACTATGGTCCATGTGAGGAGGAGGATCAGATTGGGGGCTTAGCCTTGTTTAACTTTGGTCCCTATAAGAAGGATGATTGGATTAGCCAAAGGTGGAACTTTATGATAGAGCGACTTTGCCTTATAGATAGAGCGACTCGGTTGAGAGTGTGTTAAGCTTAATGATGTTAAATATACTTTATGAAAGAGAGATTTTCTTACAATTAAAATAACTTACATGCATCTTGAGGTAACATACATTTTATTATAAACATATGCAATCTGCATAATATTCTCGAACAAAGTGTTTAAGCATTAAATACATTGGTTGGAGCACATGTGTGTAATTTATATTTGTTAGCTTGAATGGACTTCTAGTGGATTTTATTGCTGTTTGCACGGGTGCATCATTATTGACATAGATGTAAAATTTTTTATTTTAAACATTTGGATTTGCATTATGTCCATTCGTGTAAAAGTATTGCTGATCCGATGGTGATAAGATGAATTGAAATCGCTTAAATACATATTGAAATGAGATTTTTCATTTTTACATGTTTGAGCATTAGTGTGATGGATTTCACAGATAACCATCTTCTATAAATACATGGAATATGATTGTGTCTGTTTCACATTAAATTTAAGTCTCCTCTATCCCTGAAGGATGTTAAGCAATTTTGAATATCCCATTTTGATTAGGAGGGCTCTACTTGCATTCTAAGCGAGCTTTCAAATTCTTATATAAAAAAAAACCTTTTCTAGTTTCATTTTGATATTCAATTTTATCTTTGGGTCATTCATTTAGCTCCTTAGTTAATTATTTTGGTGTTCAATTAAATTCATAGTGGTTCAATGTAAGTCTTCTGTTAGATGAAAATCCGACAGCCTCCTGGTTTCATCCTTGTTGAGGGGCAATGTGCTTGGGTCTTCAACTATCTGTATAAGAGCAACAACATTTTTTTTACCTCTTTTTAGTAATGAGAACATGTACCTAAAGTTTTTCCTTCTTCGTTGTTCCAACGAGAACATGTACTTAAATATGGTCAAATATTAAACCTGGATGCGAGACGGAACAGCATCGAGACATGATGAACCTTCCTGTGTAGGAGTAGGTGAGGACAGTGATAGGAAATCAGAAAAAAATGATGCTGGAGACGAGGTCGGTGACGGATTTGGAAGTGTCGAGCACACGAGACTGACAACAACGTCGAGACAGAATGACGAACTTTCCTGTGTAGGAGTAGACGGAGGAAATGATAGGATATTGGAGAGTGTGATGCCAGGGATGAGGTCGGCGACGGACTTGGAAGTTATCGGAGGTTTCATGCCGCATGTCTGCAATGTGGAGGTAGCGGGTTATGAGGGGTATAGGGCTTGGTTATGTGAGAATAACATAAACCCTCTTTGTTTAAAAAGACACATGAGAGAGAAATGAATATGGAGGTTGAGCATGCTTCTCGTGCTACATAGAGAATGAATATGGAGGTTGAGCAGATGGGGTAACGTAGGATGGAGAGTTTGCCGGCGGCAGGGAGCTTCTTCGAGAGTAGGTCTTCAATCAGTGAGGGGAGGAGTTGTGGTGTTGTGTTGGATGACGAGAGAAACAGAGAGAGCGATGCTCTCACCTGTGGGTCGGATGCATGCCACGGGAATTGGAGGAGCTTCATCACAGAGGAGAGTTGACGGGATGGGTGCTGTTTTGTGGGAAATATATGATCCGACCTTCCTAATTTTATAGCACGAATCCTGCGATCCCGCTCACTGCTGCCTTTCTGATTTGGCTTCCGTACGCGATCTCCTGTAGGAATTTCCTCCCCCTTTGCTCTTTACCATATTTTGCGGCACGAACTGACTTTTATGTCTCGCCATTGCTCCACCTTCCTTCCTGACTCTTTCTTGCTGCCCCTGAATCTACTAGATCGAGCGACCCTTCCGCCGCGTTCAAACTCTTTTCTTCCTTCTTCGACCCTTAGCAACCACGAAATCCTCTTCTCTCCATCGCTCCCTTCAACCCCGCAACCCCTTTTCTTCTTCTTGCCCGATATTATACGTCGAGCCGTTTCCCTGGCCTCCCCTTATTGACAGCTTATTTATTGGGGAGATTATTGCGTGCGGACACCGCATGCACGGTGTCCGATCCTGGCCGTAGATCACGGTGATCTACGGTCAGGATTATTTCTGTTTTTTTAAAAAAAAAATAAAAAATTTTAGGTGGGGCCCACCGAAATACATCAGGACCGTAAATCATGTGATTTACGGTCCGGATCGGTCTCCATCGCTCCCTTCAACCCCGCAACCCCTTTTCTTCTTCTTGCCCGATATTATACGTCGAGCCGTTTCCCTGGCCTCCCCTTATTGACAGCTTTTGAGTTTCCGCCTCGATCTAACAAATTGGGAGACCCATCTTTTTCCTTTTCCTCTATGTTTGTAACTTCATTATTTTTATTTATTTTAATGTAAATTGTTCAATTATTTAACTAATTTGCCTATCATAGATTATGTTAGAACTAATTTTGATTAGGTTTGAATCTTCTTTCAAAAATACAATTAGAGTAATCTAATTAATAATAATAATAAATAGTTAGTTCCAATACATTTATGTTCATAATTGTTAATGTTTGGCAGTCTAATTGGTATAGGACCTGCTAGTTGATGTTAGTTGAGCCGTTAAGACTTTTAAGTGTTTGTGCCCGCCTCAAGTTAAGTAGTTATTATTTTTGATGGAATAAACATATCTTTGATTGTTACGGACATTATCGTTATTACTGGCATTAGATTTCCAGATAATTGTAGGTTTATCAATTGGACCTTTTAAATTTTGTTAGTATTGTTGCAACAATTTTTATTTTTGTCATAATAAATTGCATTATTAATCTTACTTTATTGCCGAATAGCTCCTGTGTAATGACTTGTGTCTCATGTTTCTGACATTCATTATTTCTTTTATAGTTTTGATGTGTTAAACCGCATTGTTGCAAATTCATAATTGTGCATAATTATTGGTGGACATTGTAGTTGCTTTGATTGTGGAACAATATATATATATATATATATATATATATA